GAGGGTGAAGTGGTGAAAGAAGTTGGGGTGTTAAGGGGTGATATTAAGATGGTGACGGGAGAAAAATTTGAGGGAGTGGTGAAGGAGGTTGTGGATTTGAGGAGTGAACTTACGGGGGTGAAGGGGGTGGTTGATAAATACTCGGATGAAGGAGCTCAATTGAAGGGTGAAATAAAAGAGATGAAGAGCTATGTAGAAAAAAAGTACGATGAACTGAAAAAAATGAAGAAGAAAAGAGGGAGGAGGAAGAAGAAGAGATGGAAGAAATGAGGAGGAAGGAAGTCGATGTCATTTATACACCGGAGAGTGTTATAGCAGCAGTTTTGGATTCGGAATGTCCTGCACCCCAGAAGAAGAAGCAGAAGGTAAGTTTAATAAAAGAATACTTAATTTGATTTTTATTATGTTGTTGTGACAAAAATTTGTATGCAAAATTGTAGGTTGAAAAAGCGGATATTCCAAGCGGAATTGATGACATCGAAGCTGCAATTTGTGATTATTTATGGAATAGCGAGTTAGAATCGGGGTAAGTGAAATATATTGTTTTGTGAGTGATATTTAAATATTTCATGACAACATATTAATCCTAATGATTCATACAGATATTCTGTAATATCAATGGGAAATCAATTCGCTACTGTATACGACGTTGCAACGTTGAAGCCTACGGAATGGGTTGGCGGTGTGGTAAGTAGAAAGTAGAAATGTTAAAACTTATTGAATATGTTCTGATTGTGTAATTAATTTTGTTAGGTTATCGATTTGCTCGCCTGGACCATATGCTACGATTCTCAAAAGTCACTCCGGAGGATTGGCTACCTTCCATACCTCTTAGTGGTGAGTAAATTAATAAATATTGAAAAGTAGTGTTATAGACGGTAAATTAATAATGTTTGTTGCGTAATTACAGCAACAGGCGTTGGAAGCCAACAACAAAGAAAGTGTTGAGGGTATTTCTACCTTCTGGGGTGTCATATTGGATAACTATGTGAAATTGACCGACTGTGAGAAGGTAAGACACCATACCAATTGCAAATGATGTTTTCGGATATAGAATGTTGAATTTTGTCAAATTGGGTGTGAAATTTGTTGCAGATCATGATCACAATAAACTACCATAATTCACATTGGTATCTGTTGGTGTTGGATATGGTAGATCATGTTGTAACAATATATGATAGTATGTTTACAACTGAAGCAGCTAAACAGAGAGTGAAGGATGCTAAGAGATTGGTATGTATGTATGTATGAAATGACATTATGTAAATTATAATGCATAATTTTTTTGGTGCATAACTTCTTCTATTTTAATGCAGATTAAAATATTAGATTCTTATAATAAGAAACGCATTTGGGTTGAGTCCTGTGGATCTCTAGGAAAGTATCCCTTGAAAAATTTCAAATTTGTGGAGCATAAGAAGAATAAGCAATTGAATGGGTATGAGATGTTATCACAAATAGAAAGCTTAATTTATGCAGTATTCATCATAATTGACATGTGTGGTTTTCAAATTTTGTAACAGATATGATTGCGGCATGTATGTGATGATGTGGATGGAATCGATCGGTTCTACAGGGGCAACTGGTGATTTTGTAAGTCGATAGAAAAAATCGTTTGTGGTAAAATTGTTAAAAGTTGTATATTGAATGCTGTAGTTGACAATACTTAACGTTCTGACAATTTGAATATAGGTTGTTGGAGACTGGGATCGATCGCGAGTATTAAACGATCTCGTAAGCCACAATCAAAATGAACGAAGACAGGAGATAACAAAGCTGCAATATTACATAAGAATAACAAAAGAATGCAATGATGTAAATGTAGGGTTAATTTTGTATAAGATTTATAATTTTGTATACGATTTATATTTTCGTATGTGAATATAATTATGAATGAGATGAGAAATTTAGCAGTATGTTGTTGTACATGTTTCTTATACACATTAAGGGTCATGTTGATACTTGGAAGTAAAGGCAAATTTACGTTATGGCCAAAGGATGTAATTTTTCAATCTAACCGGTACAATTATACCGGTTTTATGTGAGAATATGTCTAAATAATGTGTCGACACTAATATAGTTTGTGTCGATATTTTTTTCCAGAATGAATGGAAAACAGGGTGCACCCATAAAGTGTCGATCCATATATAAAAGTGTCGATCCCAAAATCATCGAACCCAAAAGTATAATGTAATATGTAATTTTTCAATCTAACCGGTACAATTATACCGGTTTTATGTGAGAATATGTCTAAATAATGTGTCGACACTAATATAGTTTGTGTCGATATTTTTTTTCCAGAATGAATGGAAAACAGGGTGCACCCATAAAGTGTCGATCCATATATAAAAAGTGTCGATCCCAAAATCATCGAACCCAAAAGTATAATGTAATATGTAATTTTTCAATCTAACCGGTACAATTATACCGGTTTTATGTGAGAATATGTCTAAATAATGTGTCGACACTAATATAGTTTGTGTCGATATTTTTTTTCCAGAATGAATGGAAAACAGGGTGCACCCATAAAGTGTCGATCCATATAAAAAGTGTCGATCCCAAAATCATCGAACCCAAAAGTATAATGTAATATGTAATTTTCAATCTAACCGGTACAATTATACCGGTTTTATGTGAGAATATGTCTAAATAATGTGTCGACACTAATATAGTTTGTGTCGATATTTTTTTTTCCAGAATGAATAGAAACAGGGTGCACCCATAAAGTGTCGATCCATATAAAAAGTGTCGATCCCAAAATCATCGAACCCAAAAGTATAATGTAATATGTAATTTTTCAATCTAACCGGTACAATTATACCGGTTTTATGTGAGAATATGTCTAAATAATGTGTCGACACTATATAGTTGTGTCGATATTTTTTTTCCAGAATGAATGGAAAACAGGGTGCACCATAAAGTGTCGATCCATATATAAAAAGTGTCGATCCCAAAATCATCGAACCCAAAAGTATAATGTAATATGTAGTTTAGCTTTGAACTCAATCAATATTGTCTTTTAGCTTGATGGTTCATAAAGTATGTTACTTGAACAGTATGAATCAATTATGCAATTTTCATGTTCAATTTAACAACGCATTTCAAATTCATTTCATATGTAATTGGAGTTTGAATTTAAATTTCAATTTGAGTTTGAATTTCAATATATATTTCGGCTCCACTATAAATATTAGCCCAAGCCAATATGCATGTTATCATTGATTATTCCTAATTTCCATTGTTTTTTTTAACGTTTAAACGCGAGGGAATTCAGACCATTGTATTTTTTTCAACTTTAAAGCGTCAGAAACGTTTCGGGCGTATGATCTGGGTGGTAAACAAAATAACATCTAAGTCCGAAATGCTTCTGAGTACCACCCAAATCATAAGTCTGAAATACTTCCGATGCTCATCAAAATCCAAAGCTCATATGGTGCCAAGCAAAAGGAAATCAAAATTCAAATCTCATATGATGCCAAGCAAAAGGAAATCAAATCTACAACTTGATTTTGAACATTGATATGATATGTTCAGTTGTTATTGTTGGGATTTTCGTTTTTGATTGCTTGGATAGTTGTTCTCTTGCTTCTTCAAGTGTCCTTAGCTTGTAATTTATAGCTTGGAATGTGTTTGATGTTGTATATATTATTATTAAATTAAAAACAATAAACATATATATTACATATTTATTATTATCTTGGTTAATGTTGTTAAATTAAAAATTCTAAATAATATTTTATAAAATATCAAAAAAATCAATATTTTTTGTGCAAATGAAATTATTAAATTTGTAGGTGAAAACATGAAACACTATTAAAAAAATTGAAACATAAATTACATAACTTTAAAAGAAGTATCGATCCTTTTTATAAAGGTATGGACACTTTCAATATAATGGTAAAAATGTAATAGGTAGCGCTTATATAATGTAATAGGTATCGTTTATAATGTAATAGGTAGTGGTTATATTGTAAAGTGTCTATCCTTTTTATAAAAGTGTCCATACTTTTTTCACTGTGGAAAACATTAATTTAAGGTTATCTTTTGAGTGAGTTTAAGATTTTAATTTAGTAATTATAGGCGTCTAATGATTTATTTTTTACGTTACGATATATTTAATGTTGTTAAATTAAAATTCTAAATAATATTTTATAAATATCAAATAATCAAATATTTTTTTGTGCAAATGAAATTATTAATTAATATTGTAGGTGGAAAATGAAACACTATTAAAAAAAATTGAAACATAAATTACATAACTTTAAAAGAAGTATCGATCCTTTTATAAAAAGTATGGACACTTTAAATATAATAGGTAAAATATGATGTAATAGGTAGCGCTTATATATGTAATAGGTATCGTTTATATGTAATAGGTAGTGGTTATATTGTAAAGTGTCTATCTTTTTTATAAAAAGTGTCCATACTTTTTTTCACTGTTGAAAACATTAATTTAAGGTTATCTTTTGAGTGAGTTTAAGATTTTAATTTAGTAATTATAGGCGTCTAATGATTTATTTTTTACGTTACGATATATATTATTATTAAATTAAAAATTCTAAATAATATTTTATAAAATATCAAATAATTTTTTGTGCAAATGAAATTATTAAATTAATATTGTAGGTGGAAACATGAAACACTATTCAAAAATTGAAACATAAATTACATAACTTTAAAAGAAGTACGATCCTTTTTATAAAAATTATGGACACTTTCAACATATTATAATAAAAGGTAAATTTGCAATATAACCGGTATAAATATACCGTTTACTTATAAATTAGTAATATAAGCACACCTATTACATTATAGCGCTACCTAGTATGTTATTGTACTTTATAATATTTCCGGTTAAATAATATAACATAACCGGTATAAATTTTAACCGGTCACTTATTTAACCGATCACGCCGTATATTAACCGTTTTTTAGGCGCCGCACCGCAGAACTACCCTAAAAAAGTGCAATGTAAAAACAGAGAGAGATAAGCTTAACTAACAACTTCCATTGTACAAGGCTCCCAGACAAGATAGATGTCATTGCCAGTACACAGATAGGGTCTGGTTAAGGAGTTTGAACCTTCGGTGTTCGCATCCTGTTCCCCATCATTGTTTACCTAAAATAGTACTTGTTATACATGTTTTTGAATTTGTCTTGTTCTGTACAGATTTATACTCCACATGATATTCTTAAGAAAACTAGTAAAAATAAACCTTTCAAGAATAAACAAAACCTATTACACATTTGACAATTTGCTATCAATGATCAAGAAATTGTTGTTATTTACAAAAACTCTATTGGAATAAATTTGTTAAAACCTAACGAATACTGCAAATCTGCAATTAGACATACAGCTATCCAGTTTTCTTTCTTCTAAAATGGCAAACATATAAAGGTGTCAAATAACATCATTTTATATCTAAAGGAAAACTAGAAAAACCATAATATATTTTCTACTTACAGACTAACTGATGCTTCAAGTAGAATTATGAAACAAAATTGGAGGATATGCCCCCAGCTTAACCTCAGTTATATGGATCACCAAGATGAATATTCAATACGAGAAGTTAACTCACATTTTCAAGGGTGATCCTTTGTCTCTTTGCTGGAGAACCTGAGGGAGAAGAATGAGTAGAATCAACATCATACAACTTATCACTCTGCCCAGAACCAGGGAACAAATGTCGGTCCCTGGCAGCAGAAGCTTCAATAGCAACAATGGCAGCATGTCGTAATGCTTGACAATAACAAGGACTCGTATCCAATGATTGTTGTGCAAAATGCCAAGGGTTTAAACAAGATACTGTGGTGTGACATTGTTGGAGATTGTCAAATGACCCATTTGAAAGCAAAGTTGTATCTCATGCTATCCTGTTAGCATCAGCATCGGAAGAGAATCCTTCTGACTGTTTGAAGGAGCAGGTTTCTGTCTTTGCTTTTTTTGTTCCCATATGCCACGAGCAGAGTTCATCACATGCACTTGCAATTATATTCCCGACTAATGGATCCACTATCAAAGCAGCATTGACAGTCTGCAGAAAAAAATGCAGAATTAGACAAGAAAAAACTAATATCTGCAACAAAATTAAACTAAGATGAAACACCACCGAAAATGGATTTCAGGGCATACTTAACTTCAGTGAAAATTTAGGAAAAAGTGACTGATTTCTACTAGTCCTTGTTAGACAAAATGTTAATACGAGTAAAAATAAAAATAAATAAATAATATTATATAATCGAAAGAAACAAATAAATAAAGAATCAAAATAGAGAAACGTGATTTGTTTACTCACTCGGAATCAAATGAGTTGAGTAAGATAAACCGAAGAAGGATTTTTGTTGAGGCCTGTATGAACAGTTTCCTTAAGACAAATTCGTCATCTCCTCTGTGTTTTGAGTAACGTTGGACGTCAGTCTCCCAGGATACAACAACAAACGATCACAATAGTAATCACAACCATAGTGATCAGTCAAACACAACTTTCTCTATCACCGGAAAGAACGAATTTAGATGGAATGTTCTAAGTGTTTTCCTATTCCAAGGTTCTACACTTTGTGTTGTAATTTGTAACTTGTGTCTAAGAAGTGTGCCTCAACTAGCCTATAGAGGAGGAAATGGATCGAAGGGCTAAGACCTTTTGATGAAAGGATTTAACCTTTCGATTAAAGGACTTAACCTTTTTGAAATAATTTAATATTTTCATGAAGAAAATTGTTGAATATGTATGATTGAATGGATGCAAATTTAAACCAAAAATTAAGTTCATTCACCAAGTGACATGACTTATTATTAATTAGTTATAAATAGCATCAATTCATTCCATAATTTTTCCAACACTTATTAATTAAGGTTGCACTATATCTTGTTTGTATTAGGGCAGACCACATATGTATAGTTTATTTTTGCAACATATGTTACAACTGATCATTGACAATTTGAACCACGGACTTGAGATTATTTTGAACTTTTTGCAATTTGCTCATTTTAAAAATTGATAGGGACCCAATGAGTATATACACTAATTTGTTAATTAGTTTTTTCAAATATCCGAATTGTAAAAGTTTACCTCGACTCGAACTCAAAAAACTAAAAAACTTATTCGAGTTTATTTAAAAAAACGAATAACTCGGATAACTCAATTCGATTAACTCAAAATTTGGATTTTTTTTCGATTTCCTAAAGTCGGATCGAGTTTCACTAACCCCTAATTTTGATACCATGTAGAGAAACACGAAGCTGAATAAAACTCTCTATATACATTTCTCTTAGAAACATCCTATATAGACACATTAGAGTGATTTACAAAAGGTAAACAATAATACATAAAATCCCTAAGATTAGTCTAATTGATTCCTCTGGTCATGCAAACAGTTGTGTAACAAGTTATAAATGTCCAGGTCAACCTGTGTTCTAGGAGGCTTGGATTAATAAAATATTGAGATTTCAATATTTTGATATTGGAATGTTGAGACACTTGAGGAATTTTAACTAAAAATTCATATAACTGCTTGAGTGTTTGATTCGACAATACTTGTTCTAGATCAAGCATCCTATGTTATCTCTAATTCCACTTCCATGAAGCATTCATAGGGTCCAAATACCTACTATAAAACACTACGTATCAATTATTATATTCTAAATTAACTAATTAACTATAGAAGCTATTTAGACGGTGTATGGATTATGCTATTGTAAAGGGACATCAATTCACGTATTCCAGTATCTCATACATATCCATATACAATAAAACCAGTGCATAAGAAAAATAATTAAATAACTACCAGATGATCACCGGATTTCGCTAACTCTACTGTAAACTTCATAAAACTGAAAACTGATTTAGAATCATCTTCACTAAACCCAGCAATACCAGGAATGTTGCTGTGAATGAAACAAAAGAGAGAAAAAGTAAGCATATAAGGAACGTACTACAGCTTGTGACAGCTGAAAAAATATAAATGAGAGACAATAATTCCAGCACCACGAATAACTATGTCTAAGCATTTCAGAATCCAAACACAATTTCCAACTCTAAAATTCCACCAATGAATGGTAATGGACAATATGGCATTCAAACCCCCCCCCCCCCCCCCCGGGCGCAAACGAAGCCAATCTTTTACATAGCGATTATAATCCACAACTATATCACTTTGTTTGAACAAATACATGAACATTATTTCCATCCTATTATATTTTTTTAATTGTTCTATCATGCAAAGAATCTTCATGAATCAATAAATGAAATACTTGAAACTAATGTTGCTTCACAGTGACAAAGTAAGCATATTTTTAGCACTTAATGGAAATGAAATGAAAGAAAAGAGAACATTCAATGTACAATTGTGTAACAATAGAAAATAAGGATACTATTAGGTGGTGTTTGTTTTTACTGTGTAAGGTATGCAAAGCTCTTATGTCTGCACCGCGCAGACCACATGCAGATATTGGACTTCACAGACCGTTTGTTTTTTAGAAGACAGAAGTTCTTCTAACGTATGCGCGTGCTCTGCGCGGCGCAGACGTGGTCTTATGTCTGCAGACGTCTTCTAACCTCTTCAAAGAGGTTTTATATTTAATTTTATATTATATTTGATTTTAAATTTAATATTAATTTTTAAATAAATTAAATATTAATTTTTTAATATTATATATATTAATTTTAATATTAATTTTTTAAATAAATTAAATATTAATTTTTAATATTATATTATAGATATTTAATTTTAATCATATAAATTATTTTATATATTATTAAAATTTATATTATTTAATTATTTTGGTTTAAGTTTAAATATAATATTTTTTGGATTTGTTATTTTTAAATTATATTTAAACTTTTTATACAAAATGAAGTATTTAAACCACATTGCTTAATAAAAAATGATTTTATTGTTTGATAATTAAGATTTTAAAATATAAAAATTAAAATTATGTTTTTAAAATTTAAAATATAATCACAATTAAATAAAAATAACATAAAAAATTTGATAAATTTAAAAATATTTTCTAAAAATATCATATAATTATAAAAAAATTATGAATATATATTTAAAAAAATTAAAAGTATTACATAATTGCATATTTAAAAAAAATCATATAATATAATTTAATGATCATTTATAAATTTTATTCTATAAAACTTATAAAACTAATAATACATGTGATTATGTGAGACTTATAATAGAATTAATAAGGTGATGTTTGTTTTTCTAAAAAATTTATTATTGTAGTTGTATGAATTATTTAAATTTCAATATTGTAAAACTAAAATTATTTAAATATCAGTATTGCAAAACTCTTTTAAGTTTAAAAAATCAGTTTATTTATATTTCAGTTTATTTTAGCAGTCTACAGATGGTAAAAAACAAACAATTTTCTTCTTGCAGACTGTAGACTTTTGGTCTACCTCTTCTGCTGCAGATACCTGCAGATGTGGTCCTTAGACTGCAAACCTTTTACTTCTGTAAAAACAAACACCACCGTAGTGTTTACTAACCCCTTGGAGTTGCTTCTTGTGAATCCGCTTCAAGTGGTGAAGGTTTTGAAGCGGTGCAATCTGATTAAGCAGCCTATCATTCCCATTCCATCCGATTTCATTCAAGAAAACTACTATTAGTATTACTAATATAATCCATGATGATGATCATCATCATAATAACAATAAAAGTGATAATATTATTATCTGACCTTATAATAGTATTTGCATGTTTCGGTTCAATTAAGGAAACATAAACCTTTTCTGTGTAATGAATATGTCGGTTAAAGAATCATAAAAGGAAAATGAAAAAGGAAACAGGGAAATGAGAATTGATGAACTCACCAGTGGGTCGGTGGGTAGGGGAAACGGGTGGGCTGGGTGGAATATGGATGATTTGTTGCAACTGCCTGTTCATTATTAAGGAACCAAGATGGGCTTCTCCAACAGAACAGCTGCTTCCAAGCAGAGGCAGCACAGCACTGTAGTTGTGTTGTGCTGCCCAAAATCCCTAGAACGTACTGTAGCTGTACTGTAACGAAATAAAATAAAAAACACGCTGCATGCCTACATTCGGCAGAAATAATGAAATAAAATAACAAAATAAAATAAATATGCTGCAAACTGATAAGGTGTCAGATATTTTTTATTGAAGTATTCCAGAGAGTAGAGATCATGGTACTATACAGTAAGGTCCATTTTTTGACATGGAAAAATTTTACCCAAAAATAAACCATCAGTTCTCAAGAGCCCAAACCCAACAGACTATTCCCCTAAACCTGTTTTTCCCTAAACACTTAAAAAAATGGAAAACATAATAATAGGGTACTCGAGATTTTCGGGTACCAAAAGCTCAGCCCATGCCCCGGCCCGTAATACTCGGATATTTGTAAGTCGGGTAACAGAGTGCCCGGTTCTAATTTAAATTAAAATGATGAAATTTTTCCTCACAGTTGGATCATTGTGGCATCATCCTGCATGAATGTCAATCTTTACCATAAAATTGTATAGGGGTAATTAAATTCTTCCAGAAACAATAATTGCAGAGAAACATAATTTTTGGGGTCAATCTTGAAGTGCTTATCCATCACTTTACCCTTTCATTTCAGACTATTAATTGATATTCTTCACTAAGCTTTGGTTTGATCCATAAGGAATTTTAGATTGGGACGACGAAAGCTATTGAAAGCAATACGACATAATTTCAACAGTTTTATGGTTTTATTGGAAGCAATATTTCTTATGGCTGCAATTTGAGCATCCGCATCTCTTCAGTTTCTTCCATCATTTTGTGGATTGAGAAATTCAAATTACAAAGAGAAGAGAAGAGGAGAAGAAAGAGCACCTGGCTAACTAGCTCTAGCTGTGACCCATGTATGACGGCAAGTGACGACTAACGACGAGACGATGATGAAGGCAGCGAGATTGGGAGAGACGATCAGAAGAGAGTAGAGACTGAGAGAGATCGACTGCAATTGGGGTTTGCCCGCTTGGGGACCTGAGGTGAGGGGATGAATGGTACGGAAGTTTTAACGAAATACAAAAAAAAAAAGTAAAAAATAAAATTAAGGGTAAAGTATATAAATAGTCCTCAAACTTTTAAGACGATTGCATTTTGATCATCCAACTTTTGAAACTTGCAATATATTCATCTAACTTTTAGGGGCGCCTCTATTTTGGTCACCCAACTTTTAATCATTTGCAGTAAGGTCTCTGTTGTAACCATTTGTTGACGTGACAATTAACTGTCGTTAACCCATCCCCATTTTTCTTCTTCGTTTTCTTCTTCTTCTCCTATTCACCCTACCTCCGGTCAGCGGTGGGTCACACAACCATCACCATCGTCACCGACGTCGCCTCTCGACTATACCCCGACCCTCGATTCATACTTACCGTCTACCGTTTGTCTCAAATCACGAGAAAATCATTCGAACACCCATCTCCGATCAATCGTCGGTGATCATCACCATCGATATCAGTAGGAGCACCGCCCTATTCCGACCAAAACCTCGTTAGCCACTCACCGAGACTCACCTCTGTTCGTCATGGAGAGGGCCCAGAATCTCGTTGAAAACCCCAAATCTTATTTTCTATTTTGATCGATTTTCGATCGATAGGGTTATCCGTTCGCCACATCGCCACCACCGTTGAAGTCCTCACACCATTCCGAACAAAACCCAGTCAATCTTGGCTCTTCGTCGTAGTCCCTCCTCTGTAGAGGCGAATAAGAAGTAGGCAACTAAATAAGAGGTGAAGAAGAAGAGAAGGAGAAGGGTGTTAACGTCAGTTAAGTGCCACGTCAGCAAAACCTAATGGGAGAGTACAACAGGGATCTTACTGAAAATGATTAAAAGTTTGATGGTTGTATTGCAAATTTTAAAAATTAGGTGACCAAAGTGCAAGTATCCTAAAAGTTTGGAGACTATTTATATACTTTACCCTAAAATTAAAAAGGAATAATGTACTCGATACTCTGATACTCGATTAAGATTTTTTTATCCAAATCTTATTTGAAACTCTAAAAAATAGCGGGTTAGGTATTAAGCCCACAAATTTAAATATTTTCATTATAAACATTCAATAATTTTTAATCGAGTCAACATATCGACAATTTGATAATTCGAATCAAATATTTTTTAACAGCCCTGCATTGAATTTCAATTATCTTAATATATTATATCCATATATTTTTAAATATTGTTGGAATCGAAATTATTTTTTATGTTATTAAACATAAATACTTTTATGTCGCACCTAAATCAATGTACTTATTTTTATACAATTTTTAAATATGAAATTTTTATTATTTCATACATTTAATTAAATATAAAATATACATTTTAAAATTACTTTATTTGGGGTTTCTAAACTATTTTAATTATTTTAAAGCAAAGATAATAATTTTTTTTGAACCAAATAAAGATAATCATTAGTTGGTTTAATGTTCCTTTTAGTTACATAAGTATTAAAATAAGAAAAAGCTAAGTTTTTATATGAATGTTAAAATACTTTTTTCATAATATAAAAAGCATTAATGTAAATTTAAACTTAAAAATTAAAAAATCGTAAGAACTTAAGAAAACAATAATAATTCATCAAAATAAATAATATATATTCTTTCTCTTTGTTTAAATAAATAAGCAAATTTACTAAATAAAATTAATTCATAAAAAATTATTCCTATCATTTTATATGTTTTTGTAAAGTCATATAATTATATATCCTACTTTTCACACTTAGTGACGTTTATGATATGGCATCATTATCATATAATGAAACAAGGAAAGCTACACACACTAACAGAAGATACGGTTTCTTCTCATATTCATACATTAATGAACAAAGCTACATATATTTATCAATATTTCTATATATAATAAAAAGGAAAAAATAACAATAAGAGTATTTTGGTGTAAATTCTAGGTAAAAGCATAGGATAGTATTAATAGATCAAACGGGGGGATCCCTTTCCCTTAGCAAGGTCATCTGATTCTAATTCATCCTGTGTGTCTTCCCCTTCATCCCATTCTTTATTGTTTTCCTTCTCAAGAGACCCAAAAGCCCAACAACACAACAAGTAATAGAAGACATTTATCACGCTTAGAATTGTAAGTACCCAATAATAATAGTCATAATGACCCTTATTAAGGCTGTTTGACACCCAACTCACTTTCCCATGTTTTTTAGTCTCACTGTTTATTATACTAACTATTAGACTCCCAATCAAGTTTCCCACCGCCATGCCAAGGGAAAAGAGTGCGACACCAATGCTAGCCATGCTCTTAGGAAACTGGGAGTAGTAGAACTCTATTTGCCCTATTGCATTCAGAGCCTCAGCTATTCCGATCAGGCTGTATTGTGGCACTAACCACATGGCACTCATGTGCACCGTCGCGTAGGGATGATCGGCTAGTCCTTGTCTTACTGCGGTGGTTCGTCGTTTGTGTTCCACAGTTGCTGCCACCGCTGTTGCCACACAAGATACCACTAAGCCCATCCCCATTCGTTCTTTGAGGCTGAATCCTTGTGATCGTTTGGTGAACTTGGATAGCAAGGGAACTATGATTCGATCGTAGGCGGCTACCCATATCATCAACGAGATCATTGCGAACAAGCCAAAGGAACCTGCAGGGATTTGGAATCCTCCAGGAACTAAGTGTCTGTCCATGGATATCGCCTGGAGCACCGGGAACGAGTGTTGGCTTAGCGTTACAGCGATCATGATCCCACTAGACCAAATCGGGAGCACTTTGATCAATGCTTTCAACTCTTCCACTTGTTTAACGGTGCATAGTTTCCATGGATTCACGGCCCTGCCATCCTTTTCTATGTCCTCGGAGTTTCTTATCATACAAGCTTTGTTAAGAAACCTGACAAGAAATGACATAAGCAACTATCTGTCACATTATTCATAACATAAGTACTACAGTATTATATATGATTGTGTGCTACCTCAGTTTTTCTGTAGGTGCAATAAGCTTGGAGCCTTTGTGAAAGTACCATACGGCTTCACCAGATTCAATTGGAGGCAAAGTCAAGTCTCTATTGTTCCAAGCTGCCTCCATGACTTGGGCAAAGCTTATGAACAAGCTCTTATTCGGCTTCAACTTGATGTAAAGTGGTGAACCCACTAAGAACATGACTGTGGAGAGGAACATGAGCCCTGCAGGAACTCCGAAGCCTACGACCCACCCCACTTTAACTTGAATATAGACGATAACAGTTATCGATATCATGATCGCAAGTCCGACTGAAGCATAATACCAATTGAAGAAGCTTTGCAAGACCCTCTTGTTCTTGGGGTCGCTAGGGTTGTAGAACTGATCTGCACCGAAGGCCAGGGAACATGGCCTGATGCCACCGGCTCCGATCGACATGAGAGCAAAAGACGAGAACAGAAGCGCCAACTGGGCTGCCGTCGGTGAGGCACAAGGTTCTATCAACGGACTGGCGCAATGAGGAGGCCTTGCTTGCGGAAGGACAGCAGTTAACCATAACATGCTAATTCCCTGCCACAATAACAAAACATTAATACATATGTTTTTCCTCACGGATTATAATCATTGACGATAACATTTTACTTACAACAAGGCTGATGACCGTCCCCATTGCAATGACAGAAAAGCGGCCAAGGAAAGAATCGGAGATAAAGGCTCCTAGAATCGGCATGAAATTGGAAATTGCAGACCAGAGGAAGAGAACGTTTGTTCCTGTGGCGTTGGACATGTGATATTCTCTTGTCAAATACAAAATCATATTTGGTAGAAGACCAAAGCTTGCAACTTTCTCAAACGTCTCGTTTGCTGCACAAACAAAACACTTCAATTACTATAATGGGGGCAAAAAGCAATAACTTCATGAGAAGAAACAAATCAATTTTAACACTTACATATGACAAAAGGCATGGTCCTAAGGCCACCCAGTCTCCTGGTGCCATGCTTCTCTTCATCGCCAATTTTCATCTGATCAGAAGATTGCTTCTCCATCAATGTTCTTCCTTGCCGCTGCTGCTGCAAATGCAAAGAGCGAAAGAGTTAATTTGGTGAGATGCCACTCCAATGGAGAAAACTAGTGCGTCTCGTAAGCATCAAATATAATGTCTTGGCTTACCTCATTTCGTCTTATGCTATTCGGTATCAAGTGGCTATGCCGTCTCTAGTAATCAATCTCTGTATGTATAAACTTTGTTGAAATTAAGTCATTCGTGTAGTATTTTATGCAGTTATAGTAATATTTATCCAAACTTTTAGTTTTAGCTAAAGAAGATAAAATAGAGCTTTTGTTGTTGATATAAAAATCAGGTAATAAATAGATTTATAAATTAAATAAAATAGAAGTTCACCTACCACAAAATTTTATCAAAGTAAACTATATCAATTGATTTATTACCATCTTTAGGTATTAGATCACTGTGATTATGAAAATAATTTTTGTAATATTGGTGTGATGTAATTTCCTTTATATTAAGGTCAATATAATCAGTTTTTTTTAGCATTCTTCAAGTATCGGGTTAAATTAGGTAATTTAGATAAACTTAAAATTTCGCTCAGAACATTTTAGCATATATTTCAATCCTCAACCTGTGATTCGATCCAACAACCGTAGTCATGGACGGAGAAATTATATATTGAGGCAAAAAGTTTTAAAATTCCTTTTTCCTGTATATAACTTATATAATATTAAAAAACAAAAAAATGATAATATATTTTTAAAAAGAATTAACACCTCTTAAAAAATTAATTTTATCCTTTTTAAAACTAATTTATAAAGTACTTAATAATAAAAATTTTAAAATTATATTTCACTCCATCAACACTTATCCTTTTCAGAATTTATTATTAATTTACACCTATATTTTAATCATATTGTACATTAATTTATCGAATAGTTATACTATGCGTTAATATATATAACTTATTTTAAATGTAGATTTAACGACGACGTAGGATACTTTTAGTGAATATATGTGACGACTCCAGTCCAACTACAAATAATGTAATGATTTTGCTAGGGTGGGTTTTCAATCTTCCTAATTACTGTTATTTATTTGAATAATTTAAGCAGAGAAGAAAAGGAAGAAGGTTGAGGGGGGTTTGATGTGACTTTGAGAATTGAAGAAATGATGAGTATTTAGAGATACATTTTTTAATCTAAGCATAGTTTCTTACTACACAAATGATAAGATTTGAAGAAATAATATTTATCGATCAACAGAAAATTACATAATTTAAAAATAATATATTATAATCACGTTAGACTATTTATATATATATACTCATACAACATAGGGTACAGATCAGTGGCTACTTGTTTAGCTATCTAATTCTCACTCGTTAGACGCTAGCTAGATCTTTGAATAAGCTTTACAAATTTGAAGGGAATGAATTCGTGTTTACTTGATTAGCTATCTAATTCTTCCCTTAGACATTAGCTCTTTGGATAAGCTTTACGAACTTGACTTTGTCCCTATATTTATCGAGTCCTTTATTGATTAAAAATGCATATTCATTTTTCAACTTATATTTCAAATTACACGATTTGACTCCAAGTATAGCAAAGTTAGAGTATATTATTTCACTTAAAAGCATATAAGTATTAATCTATCAATTGATCTAATATAAAAAGGTATTGGATTTTCTAAATAATATTTATAATTTAAATCTTGACATTATAAATAGAATAAATTAAGTTTAATTAGATTAGAAGGATTGTTTCTATAACGAGTCTATGTAATATTTAATATCGGTCGATCAATAAATATGATATCAATGGTCGTAAAAAATATAAATAACTTAAATTATTTCTCTTTTCTCTAATATCGCGTCATACTCTACTGATAATGGTTGGCAGTTGAGAAGGCGACGACAAAGGTGGGGTTTGAAGGGGAAATGGAGAGGTGCATTGATAATAAATCCACACACTAAAAGGCATTGTCCTAGGAAATGACTCCCACATATCTGACAATAATATTATATATGTCAATTGTCATAAACGTTTTTATCCGAAAATGAAAATCACGTATAACGTCTTAGCAATGCAATTGCAATATGACTGTTTCTGTGTTTTCTTCTTTTTCTGTAACGTCATTTGTGACGATTAGTGGGTTTATTTAATAATAAAGCTATGTCAGCTTTGTTAAATCTTTATATTTTTTTCATAAGAATAATGCACTCTACCATGTAAATACTAGTTAATTGATTAAATTAGTTTAATAAAACTTTATCATATGTAATTAATATAATAAATATAATTTTTAGCGATATGATATTATATGACACCATTTCCCCCATTTAAACTTTCGTGCAAGGTTTTTCATTCATTTCGAGAATTTTCTTTTGTTTATTTGAGTTGTCGAAACTTGCATGTTCATTGATCAACGTTTAGAGTAAGAAAATACAACAAAAGTAAGAAAATATGAGCTATTCGACTGGAAATGGTGCACCACAAATTGATCTTGTTCAATAAAGTCATGTATGTTGAGAACAAGTTTATTATCATCAAACTTAAAAGCATCATTTATTTCGTCTCCTTGATGATTCAAATAAGGCTTAATATAAAAACAAGTGTCTAAGTTATAACTTTTTTGTCAATTAGGTGTGTAATTTTTTTTCTCAATCTAGGTGTCTAACGTTTCTAACATTACACTTTTAAGTGCCTGAAACTAGAGATGTAAATGAGACGAGACAGATCGCGAGCTACTCGAGATCGACTCGATCAAGGCTCGATAAATACTCGGATCGAATGGACTCGACTCGAGCTCGACTCGAGTTCTTAACGAGCCGAAACGAGCTACTCGTTATTCAACTCGAAAAGCTCGTGAGCAGCTCGAAAAAAATGTTATATTATAATTTTAGATTTTTTAAAATTACATTATTAAAAATACATTATTGATAATTATAAAATTTTAAAAATATATTAAAAATTCTATAATACAACTAAACCATATTGTAATGCATTTAATATTAATATATTATATTGTACTTACCTCATAAATCGGTACCAAGTCGATTAATTAATGTATTTGTAATTAACCCTAAACCCTAAAACCTAAACCATAAACCCTAAACCCTAAACCCTAAATCCGATTATGTGATAGGGGTTAAGTTATGTACATGAAGGTAACATATAAATTATGCAAAATGATGTTATGTGACTCCTAAATAAATCATTCGCATACTTATACATAAACATATCAACATGCAAAATAAATATACACAACTTGGTGATTGAGACATGATTTCATCATATTTTAATGATGACTATCGTCACCGTCATTGCTTTCAAGCACTGACTCACCAACATAATATTTCAAGAACTAACTCGACGACATAATGTAAACGGAGATTTGATGTACAAATACAACTAAAACGATGAGATCATATTTTATCATACCCTAGTCAACAGGTTAACATCAATATCATACAATCACCAATTTTTTAATAGAAAATGACGAGTTTGAATCATATGAATCGTCGAGGTAAATACATGATAGGATTATGATATATATAATTATAAACAATTAAAGTGTTTTAGAATGGAAGTAGAATTTGGGATAGTTATAAAGTAATATATATTTAAAATTTTCTTAATCAATTAACAATGCTCACACATCCTATAGATACATTTATTTAAACTCAAAACCTTTATGGAGAACAACATTTCCTTTTGTTACAAAATTATTGATATTTTAAAAAATATACTTGAAATGTGTTATTTATTTTTACCATTTAGTATCCAATGAACTTACCATGACTAGCTGAAAAAACATTTCCCAGATGTTTTTACATACACATGCAGGAAAATTTCCTAAATGTCTTCTTTGGCAGTGGTTGCTACTTCCAGGTTGGGAACTCAGTAAAGCTTGGAATGTCAATTCCTGCTGCCTATAAAACAACATTAAGTACTTGGGCATCATGGGTTGAGAACACGATTGACGCCAACAGAACACTTGTCTTGTTCCGAACATTTGAGCCATCGCACTGGAGGTAACCAATAATACTACAACACTTGCACCTATGACTGAGCGGAATGCTCTGATGCACCATAATGCTCTTTCAGTGGATTACCATCCTGTTAATCAGTGGCATACACACACATATGTTGCAGCTTTTTCTCTTTTTCAACAAACAATCCTGAATTGATTTCTATGTACAATTTGAACTGCTTCACAACTTGATATCTGCTTCACAGTTTCCCAAATATTTTTTTCATTCTTCAATCTTCTGATAAAAGGGCTTTGGAGTTGGGTCTATTTCATGGGTTCCTTGCGCCGTCAATAATCTAATACCATTTATCTACCTATTATCTATTACAATATTTGCTTATTTGGTTGATTTCCAAATGAACTATGTTTGTCAATTTACAAATCATTACTATTTTTTGGTTTCTGCATCAGTGAAAAATCCCGCAGGTTTTGCAATGTGACCCAGAATCCATTGTCAGAAACCGAAGGGAGGGATCAAAGCATTTTCTCAGAGACTGTATTTGATGTGGTAAAGAATATGACTGTCACTGTCCACATAACCATTCTGCAAGTAACTTCATTGTCAGCCTTCCGGAAAGATGCACATGTGGGTGGGTGGAGTGACAATCCGTTGGTACTTGATTGTAGCCATTGGTGTCTTCCTGGCTTGCCTGATGTCTGGAACGAAATTTTCCTCTTGTACCTGCTTGCTGATTATGGACTTCCTGCAGGGAACGGAAAGCAAGTTGAGTTCATTTCCTTTCTAGTTTCACTTCTTTCTGTTGTAATTTTTTACACTGCTCAGTTTGATATTTATCTTCTAAGATGAATGCAAACTATTAGAGGCTTGAATGGCTTGCTTGTGTTCCTTTGTTATTGTAGTCTACGTTACTTGGGCTGGAGTATAAATGTTGAATACGGGTATATATTTTACTTGGGTGTTCCATGTATTTGGAGGTCATATCCTCGAATAAATGTTTCAGACACTAGAGCAACATAAACTAGGTTTGCTTGTGTTCATCTTCGATTCTCGATACTTTTTTTTTGCAACAAAGATAGTGTTCATTCATGGAGTTCCATGCAATCTTGCAATGCTCCTC